TTGAACTGGAACAATACAGACTGAAGATTCAATTTGCTACAAAATTACCTTAATCAAATGCTTGGGATTTCATAGCACAACTAAATTAGCAGTTCTGAGTAAAGCCCATAAGGATGACATATTTGAGACATTTAAGTAACTGACAAAATATGCCACTTCTAAAATATTTATTAAGCATTTGCACAACATCTGATATGGCTTTAATTTCAAACTTATTAAAAACATACACACAATCATGTTATACAAAAACCAGACATACCCACAACTACAAGAAATAACAGCTTACTATGGTTTCCAATGGAAAAGCAGAAAGTTTCCCATGGCTTGCTTTCTTTTAGGCAAGCAAGGAACACAACCTAATTCATCTAACCTAAAGAAACAACATCACCTTGGCTAAATACAAGCAAACACAACTTCTGCCAATGTTGTTGCCTTACCAATAAATATTTGTCATCTTCCTCTCACCCCACTTCCCTCCTAAATTAGTCACCATCTGCTTAATCTCAACCGAGATCTCCATATTTCACCTACTGCAAAGATAAATGTTGGGTATAAACACAGCTCTTGGGAGGCACGGCAATCTCTGCTGCAGGATAACAGGAAAAATGTCTCTGCATGGTTACAATCATTTGCTTTTCACCACTTATTCAGAGTAAAACAGCAAAAAAGTTCAGGTCATTTCCTGACTGGCACAGCAAGTTATAGCAAGATACACATGCTATTAATTTTTAATTGCATTGCTTGCAGACTGAAAGCCCAAAAGGGGAGCGTTCCTTTTTAAAGCATAAAGAAGGGCACTGAAACTGCTTACCTCACTCAGCTCTGCAGGGGAGTCATTTCCATATTTCATAGCAACTCCAGAATTCATGATTAGACTTCTCGGGGCTTGACGATTTCTGCAGATTTTAATGCTTCGAAGCTTTGTTCAATTGATTCAATACTTTCTTCTCCAAATTTTTTCCGTCTTACACATTTTGCTCTAGACAGCCATTTTTACTCCACAATGATAGTTTAAATTAACAATGCAAGATCTTCTAAAAGAGCCAAACTGGTTTTGACTTCACAGACAATCCATCGCTGCGAGAGACTTGTTAATACTGTGAAGTGCTCAGAGAATGCAGGGAAGGAACTGCTTGCCAGGATCCCAGGGCTGTCTTAGTCCATCTGCAAGGCGTGCTTCATCTCTGCTGTCTGTTTTACGCTGCTCTTTTCCACAACTCTGTTTAAGGGCATCTCCCAATGCCGCTTAATGCACTCAGAAAAAATTGATGAGCTTCATGCAAGTTCACAGAGAAATTAAAAGGAGAGTGCTGCTACAGTCTTCAGTGTTCAGGGAGGGATAAGGGAGAAGAGAAGAAAGCTCCCCTCCCCAGGACAAACCAATGCTGCACTTCACGCTAAAGTTTCCCCTGCCAGTGAGCCTGGAGTTTAAGTGGTTTATGATCAAACACAGCTGTCTTGCTGCTGGCTAAAGGGTGCATGGAATGGGCGGTACTAAAAGGAGAGTGCAAGTGGGAGGGAGGGAGCTACAGAGAGTTCATTTTGGAATTACAGGCATCTTTCCAGCTCTCTGCATACTAATTACTATACACAAAACTATAACGCTAAGTAACGGGAAATGCCACCTGGATAACAATAAATTGGATTCCTATTTCCTTATTCCCATGTGCAATAAAGTAAGGAAAGTTAGGGGGCTTTATAGGGTGGGGGTTGTAATGATTTCAAAAGGTCACAGTAAGCCCAAAAGCACCATTAGAAAGCTGCAGCTTTTATGTAACACAGTGACATTTTACAAAGACTTTGAGGAGATGCTACTGGAACAAGAGGAGAGGAAAAAAGCATTTGCTTTCAACATTCAACTAATAACCTAGAAAAATCCTTAACAAGCTAGACTTGTAGATGTGCCGCACCCATTGCAAGAAACGACAGCCTCCTTCCCCCTTCTCGCTATCCCCTAAAACATGACAGCCCCACACACTTTGTGATGCTAGATTATGATGTACTTTTGGAATTAGAAATAGGAAATACCATACTCTGTGGAGGAAATTTACCCAATCATCTTAATACAATGTATTATTAAAGTGTCAAATTAGTTCAGAAAAAAAAACCATGAGAAACAGGAATAAATGCTATACAAGCTGTGGCACAATTCTTGCACCCTGGCAAAAACATTTACATGGGAAACAATGCTCTCCAAGAGCAACATTTTGAAAATAATTTTGTGATTCTTTTTTCTCCTATGTTAATCACAGATTAATATCAGCATGCAGACATAGGGATAATTTATCCAAATGACAATACAGAAAGTGCATTAAGAACAAGAACCAAGATAAACACATATGTATCGCTCCGTGATACCAAAAAGCAGTAGCACTTTCTGTCTCCCTGTCCCTCCTCCATGCCCAGCATCAGGAACTGCAGCTCTCCTCTAGCTCAGGCGGTAAGGGGAATGCCACAATGTCTTGCCAAGACTTTTTACTTTCAATCTCCAGGTCTAATTTCCAGCCTTTCCTTTCTCTTCTCTGTATTTTTGCTATTCTCCAGTTTGCTTTCTAGTAGTCCGTATTTTTGGGTTTCCCTTCCCCTTTTCACGCCCACCTCGCATTGCCTCCATCCTTCTTTATTTTCTTCCTTAAGAGCATCCTCCCCGTCTCACCTTTACGTTCAGCTCTGCCTCAACGCTTAGTACTTCTCTATACAGAGAATGTGCATTCCTCCTCACTCGTCTGCTTTGTTCCCGACATATGTTTCCATTTATCGCCCCTCAAACGCCGGCGACGGAGCTGCACTGCTCTCTGCCGGCAGAGGGCTGCGGTCTCAGCCACAGCAACCAGCACAGTGCCACAATGGGGAAACCACACACTGCCCCCTCCAGTGGGTAGGAAACCAGGAAGGTCCGGAGTCCCCCAAACTGCAGCATGGAACAGCATAGCCACAGCAGTTTTGCACACCAATTTCCCGTGCATTAAAATGTGATTAACAGCGTTTTATACCCAGGAAAAAAGGTACCGTATAATGACTTACCACATTTCTCGCACGTGAGGAAAAAAACCCCCATCTTCCGTTGAAAAGTTCCTGCAGCTGACAGAGTGCATTTAAAAACATTTTATCTTCTAAGTTGTGCCTTCGCAAATGGGAGGGTGACAAAGTTTTTGTATTTTGCATCACTACCTTTATCAACTTTCATATTCCCTCTTATAACATGCTCTGATCTGAGTTTTGTCCAGTTCTGTCACAGGTATCACAGTTTCACCAACACAGGGATGAGTCTCAGAATTACTTAAGAATAAAGTTCTCTTTATTTATTAGGAATAAAGTTTTCTTTTTCTAAAGGAAAGGCCACATTAATTATGGCTTCAATGAACTGCATTTCCCATACTATATCCCTACACTGCCAAATACTTCCCAGCTGACTATAAACAGGCATTCAGATAAAAGTTTTAATTTGCTTTCCTCACTCACCATTGTTGTCCATTCCTGCAGACTAGCCATCAGACAGACCAGAGCACACAGCACTGCAGATGCATCCCAAGCATAATAGTGCAGGGCACTCGAGGACCTGAACTAGATCCACTCCGTACTGTACCCACATGCTGCACAGGATTTTTTTCTGCCTCTTTCCTACTCCATACAGTAACATGGTGGAAAGCGACAGAGATACTGAATGAAAAAACAACGGCAGAATTCACAGTTTCAGATGTGCACAAAAACATGGCGGATATATGCAGATACTTTCAAAACAACTTATATTTAAAAATTCATTGTAACTTGTGCAAATTAATGTAACAGTTAAACCAAACTCTGATGAAAAGTGATTTTACTTTAACCCCAGCTGACTCCCATTGCAATCTCTGCATGCTTGAATGGAGTGGTACGGGACTACACATTTCTCAGCTGGAAAGCATCAACTACTACTTTTAACTAACCCATAAGTATTGGCATTGTTTATTTCAATGTCCTTATTAACTTTGCAGTCATTTCTTTATTGTAGAGGGCTACCTAAGACTAAATGAAATCATTCCTCTAAAATCATTACTATTATATCAGGTTTTTTAAATTCTCAGTAGTATCAAGAACATATTCTGAATATCCGAAGACGTAGAACTAGTTCTTCTGTGAAATCCATATTACCTAGCATTTCTCCGAGTCCATTTACTAACTGAACGAGAATATTACATCACCAAACTAAATCCTCAGGTAGACCTAACCAATTGTCTCCAGGAAGTTTCACCATTTTCAAATACATGTAAGTGATCTAATACAGTAGCAGGGCACTAAGAACTTTGTTGAAGTCGAACTATTTCCCATTGGCTTGTGCCAAAGGCAGGCTTCAAAGAAAACAAAGGAAAAACTCACGTATGCCAATTTTTCATTGCCAGAAAAAGAACAGAGTACTCTGTGATCCAGCAAGAGAGAGGTGCCTGTTGGACTCACTCTCTCTCCTTTTCTGTACGATGGCTGACTATTCATTCTCTCTCTCTCCCTGACTCAGTTCCTCACCTAGGATAGTGATGCTTCCTTGCCCTCAACCTTGTGCCTGTCTTCTTTTTTAGCCTGTACAGTCAGGGAGGGGCTTGGGATGGGAGTGGGAAGAGAAATCTCTTAACCTACAGATGTACATTTCTTAGCCCAAGAGGACATGGTCTCAGTGGATGCCTCAGTATGTACTATGATATAAACAAGAAAAGGCAAACAAGAAGCTGGACCAACCTGACCGTCACTGAGGCTTTCAGAAACAACATCCACAAAACACATTCTGTCAAGACAGAGACACTGGCCTGGGCTTCCATTCAATCTCACTGCATTCTGATCAATTACTGCTTTCTGTACCTCTGAAGCATTCATGATGCATACTGCTTGTAGGTAAGTGCATTTGCACTGACAGATTCTTCCCAAGATAATTTCAGAATTATCCAGTATAACAACCATTAGCATGGCCAGTTTGCTGATTGTTGATCTAATAATCCTATGGCCACTCTATTCCATTTGTATACTCTTATTAAACTGTAGTAAATGAACCATTGACATGTATCTGAGATTCAGTGAGAAGTCTACCTTTTGGTTGTATCTGAATAATCATTTAATAAGATTTACCACGTGGTGTAAAAGGATTCTTTTGGGACAAGATACAACTCTCTTGCCGTTGTCACCTTTACGTTTTAAACTGTCACACAATATGGAAAAAATTAGCACTGTAGTTATTTTACAAGGCTTCTCCCTCATAATCAGTCTCAGTAATTACAATGCTCTATTTCTTAACAGTTATTGGAGCAGGTGTGACAATTGCCACAAAATGAATGTTCCTTCCTTGTTTTGATAGCTACAGAGTGAAAACTACAGCATAAAACCAATTAGCTGTCAAATACACATGTAGCACACACTCTTCAGCATAGAGTGTACCACTTTTTGAGAAGAAGTTTCACAGCATACAGCATGCACAACTAGCTGATCACAATTCCAGGACGTATGAAATAAGGCCATCTTGGTTGGTTCTGTTCAATTAGCTCTGTAATTGAAATGCAACTGACTGAAGTCCACTGAGCATTTAGTTTCTGTTTGTTTGTTTCAATATCATCTCTACAATTACAGCAGCATCTGGCACAATCCCACACACAAACAAATTACACCTTCAAACGTTGCAAATTTACAACACACAATTTGAGTACAACATATTTTTATTCTTGCTCTGGCACAAAATACACAGGTGTAGTGCCAAAGTCTAAATTTCCACATACAAAATAGTAGCACTCAGAAGGTTAGTGTGAAGGCTAAACTTGGAAGCAGAAATTCAATACAGTAGTTGGATAATGTTTCCAGAAAATTCCTTATTCAATAGCACTAATGCACTATAATTTAAAAGGGAGAAGC